AATGAGAATCGCGCGCGACTGTAACGTCAACGAAAAAGAATACATTATTTAAATATTTATTAGGTACCGAATCCAAATATCGAGCATGACCAAAAAAACAAGGGGACCGTTGTGTTACTTTTTAAGATGAATTTAGAGATTTTTCTTATTAGAAGTTTTTTAGTAGAACATCCATCACAGTAATTGGAAGTCCATCTCTCTCTCTCTCTCTCTCTCTCTCTCTCTCTCTCTCTCTCTCATTAGCCATTTTAACATTCTTAAAATTGCACAATGTATGCAGGTACACATTTGATGAGAGATTCTCTGAATAAAAAAGATTGTCGTTTTTAATTTTCACATCATATTGATTTCGCTATATGTTCGATTTAACATTTCTGAAGTGTTTTATTTTGAAGTATTTCCTTAGTTTTCAGTTTAGTAACAAAAATAATAAAATTAAACTATAAAACAAATAATTAAATAATTGAAGCAAAATTGTCACTAACCAAATTATTATTAAAAGTTTATTTATTTTCAGGCAAATTTTGCTCACTTTCCCACAGGTTTGGACAGATACAAATGCTATCGTATTCAGCGAATTCGGATATACAGTGTAAATCGCTTTAGCATTGTATTCTCCGTTTATTATTAGAATGATATAAATCTCAACTTACAATTGCACTATATTGTAATTCTAATACAACGAAATTCCTTTAATTCCTGTAACTTTAATAAAGAACTCGCGATTATTATACGATTAAAGCGAAACTTTCTACTTCAGTAAGACATAAAAATAGGACAACAATTGCATATACTAAACAAGTCAATTATAACACGTAACCATCAGAGCGGACCCGGAGTATTCTCATCGCTAAATCGAAGGAGGGTGGACCGAAGGTCCTACCGGGAAGGAAAGATGGGAGGTCGGACACGTGCGTACGCACTACGCACGCACGCACAGACGCACACAGCATTCTTAAGAAGCGGCGCCGCCGATTTTCCTCGCATCGCAACGGAGAGGTTTCTAATTCGGATAGAGGAAGAACGGCGTGGCTGCGTCAAGGCCGAATCGTTTAATCACAGACCGCTCGACTGACCGGCCCGAAAGCGTTATTAACTGGATTTATGCATCTGTCTGCCTTGACGGGAAGAAGACGGACGGGTAATCTCTGTACCTCATCGTACCGCGTCACGACGCGAGAAGAAGCTGTCGCAGCATCGGCCATGAGAAAAACGAACAATGAAGTTCCGAATAAACCAAAGGATTCGAGCAAATCAATTTTTCGCACGACGATCATTCAATCGGTAATTAATTGCATCTCTATATATAAACAAGAAAAGAATCATCTAGTTCATAAAATTCGCAGGCAAGAGTGTATTTTCTGCGTTTTTAAATCAATAGATGATACTTGTAATTTGTCAAGGGATCGCGATTAAAAAAAAAAACAACTTTCCGCGTTAATCTCGTTAGGTGATTGAAAATGGGCGAGATTAACTGAAAAAGGTTGCATTGCCCTATGGGAGTTGAGTGTCTCTGCTTATAATTAACCCCAAACTCCATTATCAATATGCTGTCGAAGGCCCAAAGGTGGCTAGAAGTGGATGGCATGTACAAAAGCGGATTAACTCAATGAAGAGAGAGAGAGGAGAGAAGAGAAAGGGGAGAGAGAAAGAGAAAAAGGAGAGGGAGAGAGAGAGAGACACGTTTTTTTTTCTCCGTCATGTTCCGAATAATCGCGCAATTTCATTGAAAATTTCTGCACGCCACTTTCATCCCGATAATCGAGAGAATATCGGATACAATATATGTATACGGAGTAAGGGTATTAGGGAAAACGTGATATTCAAGTGATCAATCCGTGAACCTGTTAGCTGCATCAACGTTAATTGAGTTACTAATTTTAGAATGGCGTATCGTTCCACGTTCCATATGCCACCGCCGCGATTATCAATCTCTCGTTATATGCGCGAGATTGTAAATAAAAACTCGCGGCGTAAAAACCTACGATTGACAAAACATTGAAGAAGAATCAACAAATGGGCTAAAATTAGCGTCGTTGATAGTCAAACACGTAGATCGTTCCCGATCTCGTTCCGATGTCAAATATCCGAATAAAGCGACGGGGATGTCGATTACAGTTGCCATATGTACAGAGAGGATTATTTAAATTTTTTAAATATAGGTTGTCGGGTCATCGCTTTAAAAAAGCACGAAGGAAAAGGGAAGCATCGACCGTTCGAGAGAAAATATTCATAGACCCTCTCTCCCCTTCGATTTTAACTATAAAACTTTACCTGAAGAATCAAGAATAAGGACGTGTAATTTCGAATAATTTTAAATTCCAAGTGCCGATTAGGGGCAAAATCGAAGTTACAAGTGCCGATCGTCTTTTGTAAAAATCGATCGGGGAATGAATGAGAGCTCATGAACGTTCCTCGTCCGGAGCAGGCCTGTCGATGCAAGCCAAGCCGTCCCGTGACGAGTTTTCTCCCCGAGGCGTTCACCTACTCTTCTCCCGGGGATGCAAACTCGATCGTTACTGGAACGCATCCGACGCATAGACACGTTTACGAGAGAAGAGCGAAAGCGTGCCAGGCGCGCATACCAGCTCTTGCCGCGCCGTATATTTTCGGGAACGAACGTTCGAATAATAAGGGGCTAATGATAGTAACGACTGTAACAGTCGCAAAGACGAAAATACGAATAGCAACGTGCGAATGTTTGCGCGCCGTTTCGGGAAAAAGTTGCTTGTTGACGAATTGCTCCCTTTTCGTTTGGAAATCAGATCTTTGAAAGACAAAAGTGTCATTTCTTTAGAGTTTAGGTTTAGAACAAGATCTTTCTTTATATCCTATTCTCTCTCGAAGCAACGTGTTATCTTAAAAACAATGTCAACGTTCTTTGGTTCTCTCTAATGTAACAGTCAAATAATTTTGTCGAACAAGTCATTGATCTCTTTCGCAGATACATAACGGGAAGAAAAATTCAAGTCATCTAACCGACGCATCCCGAGGCAATCGGTAATAAACAACAGAAAGCGTGCGAGTTGGCGCGTCACATCATTCACGTCGGATGACGATTGCGGGGAATCATGACACAAGGTGTCTGCACTTACCATATGAAGTCCTTGCAGTGGCTGCAGAAGGTGGGCTGCTTGAAGAATCGGGGCATAAAGCTGTGATTCTTGACCATGTAGATATTCTTCTTCTTGAGAGCGCCCTTCCGGCCCCGCAATTTCTTGCCGAAAGCGGTGTTGCTGTAGTCGGGCCCGAAGGAGTCATCGCACGTGTAGTCCGGATCGTCCGCCATGATTCCGCCGCTGTTGCTGCTGCTGTTGCTGCTACTATTGCTGCTACTGCTGCTGCTGCTGCTGCTGTTCCTGTTGCTGACCAGCCGATCGACGATGAATCGACTCGCCGACGACGTCGACGTCGACGGTGCCCGGGTGTCACACGCGGGCGGCTCGTCGCTGGGGACGACGCCGACCTCTCTGGAACCTCGGTCAGTTCCCGATGTCGCGTTCTACTCTCGATATTTTCTCAGTTACGCGCACGGAGCTGTCGTCCCGTTCTTCGACGACGATCGAACTCGCACGGAGTGGTGACCGCGCGCGGGAGCTGTCACACGGCTCCGACGACCGACGACGGTGTGTCTCGCGCGTCGCGCGCGCGAGGCTTGACGGACGGTGAGGAGGGAGAACGCGCCCGGTGGGTGGGGAGAATTGGAGAGAGCAAGACAGAGAGAGAGAGAGAGAGAGAGAGAGAGAGGGAGGGAGGGAGAGAAAGAGAACGACAGAAAGAAACGACGCTTTCGACGTCGGCGCGCGTGGTTCTTTCGAGCCGTCCAGCGTGTCCTGCGACGTCCGACGTCCGATCGAGTCTTTAGGTGCCAGATAGCGTATATACTCTCTCGCCGCTCCTGAAGCACGCACGTCCTCTCTCTCTTTCTCTCTCAGTGACACGTCGGCTCAACGACGGCTCCTCTCCCGGTCCCGTCGTTTCCCCGCTCCCCCTCCCGCCCCACGGTTACACCGGGCGCTGCGCTTTCGCGCTGTCGCGCTCCTTCTCTCCGCTCGTCCTGCTCCGACTTTAGAGAGTCTCCTCCCTTTCTCTTTCTCTCTTTTGCTCGCGCTCTCCTCGTTGCTCCGCAACAGGCACTATCTCCCTCTTTTTCGCGCGCTCGCCCGGCACCGAGCGCTCGACTTTTCTCTCTCTCTCCCTCCCCCTCTCTTTTTCTGTCTCTCTCGCCGCGAAGTGCGCACCTTGTCGTTCCCTTTCTCCTCTCGCTTCCGCCACGCTCGTAATAGCAAATACTATACTACTCCTACTACACTTGCCCACTTCGTCTCTCTTCCGCTCACTCCCTCTGTCGGGCGATCTCACAATCGGCTCTCCTTGTCCAACGCCCACCTTTCCTTTTTGTCGCTCGCGCTCTACCGTTCGTCCGCACCTTTCTCTCGCTCCTCAGCGACTTTCTCTCTTTCTTCCCCTCGCTCCAATTTCTCGTCGTCTCGCTCCCGCCGCCGTCTCGATCGCCTCGCGCCTTCCTCGTCGCCGCCGCGAACCGTCCGTCGTCCCCGGCACCTGGTTTTACCCGTCGCGCGATGTACCGTCGTACCCGTCTGTCTCCCTCTATCCCTCCCGCCGACCCTTTTCCCCCCCACCCCCGACCGAGGCAGACCGTCCTTGTTCGTTCCGCGGCGCGACGCCGTGACTGCCGCGCCTCTGTTCTTTTCTCTCTTCCCCCTTTGGCCGCGCGCGCGCAGGTTACCCGATAATTTTAGACTCTCGGCGTAGTGGCTAGTGGCTCGGCACAGCACTAGCACTAGCCACTGCTCAGCCTGCGCTGCGCACTCGAATATCGACATGCGACCGACGGCGGGGCGGCGGCGGCGGTGGCGGCGGTGGCCCGCCGACGAGACCCGCCGCGAGCCGCACGCGACGCCGAGATCTCGGTGTGAAAGGTGGAGAAAAGGTGGAAAGGGAAGAGCGTATGACGTTTCCGCTTTCTTGTGCTCCGCTTCCTTCCTTCCTTTCTTTCTCAACTGTGGACGTCCGGGTCGTGCTCTTCCCTCGTTCTCCTCTTCCCGCGCGGGATGCACCCCCCGCAGGCCACGCACCAGCAACGAGTCGGAAGGAAAAATGATGATGCTGCTGATGCTGCTGCTGCTGATGCTGCTGCTGATGCTGCTGCTGCTGATGCTGCTGCTGCTGCTGCTGCTGCTGCTGCTGCTGCTGCTGCTGCTGCTGATGGTGCTGCTGGTGCTGCTGGTGGCGGTGGCGGTGGTGGTGGTGATGGTGGTGGAAGCTCGATCTCTGCCTTCATCCGCCTATGTCCTGATTTTTGTATATGTTTCTCTGTCTCTTTCACCTCCCTCCCCTTCCTCCGCTCTCAATCCCTCTTACTCCTGTCTGTTTGGCGCGGACATTCGGTCGCTGGACCGAAGACAGCGCCGGGACTTACCCGTGGAGGAGACAGAGGATCAACCCCTTCGGCCGGACGAATCTAAACGCATGATGCGCTCAACCGGACGACCGGTTGCCTCTCCGTCGCGAGCAGTGGTCGCGGCTGCCCGATGTCAGACGCATCCCACATCCCACCCCACGCAGCTTACAATCGTAGCATCTCCCTGGCGCATGTGTTAGTCACACATTTCGGCTACTCACGGTCCGCCGCGATCGCGGAAGAGAGATCCCCGAAAGGATGGCCGCGATGTCTCCTTGAGACCTTATCTAATTTCTCACGTGTCACAACTATCGATTCCTCATCTATCCCGTTCTATTTTTTAACCGTAGAATATCCTGCGACATTCGCGAGCTGTTTACGCACCTATGGAATGTTTACTCTAATCAATTTCGAGTCGGTACGTGGCCCTCTTCAACATTTTTCGACAACTTAATTAATATGTATCCAGCTATAAATTACAGATATAAATGAATCTATTATAAATCTCGCTGCCGACATCTGTCAAAATATACAAATCCAATTTCCCGCAAACGATCCCTATTTCAAAATTTTTTTTCGTATTTTTTGGTATTTAGCGCGCCTCGTGCGAACTCATGCATTTCGCAAAAAAAAAAAGAAAAACATTAATATCAGATAAGATAGGTCTCAAGACAAAACGGACGAGCGGGATGATAATGGAATCGACGGAGATTTTGCCAAGAGGGGGGGGGGTCCTTCCCTTCTCTCATCGTGCGTTAAAGGAATGCGCGATCGTATATATATCCGACGATAATACGACTCGTGCGGGATTCGCGCGGGCTTCCGCCGGGTTTCACTCGGAGGCTGGCCATCGATCTGCGGTTTCATCCCCGCAGGAAAACGCAGAAACCGGACCGAGCCGTACTATTTAGGGTGGCGCGAGCCGCGAGACAGAATCCGTCGCCTCATCTCGCTGTCCTCCGCTACGGCGCGCTTCAGATTGGAGGCACGAGCTACGAGCTGCAGCTTGATCCTAAGCCGGTCAACTGGAAAGTCTGTAATCCAAGTTGTGACGCGCGCGGGTCAATAATACCCCCGGGCTATTTTTAATAACGTGACGACCATGCACAGAGACTTGTACGAGAGCGCGCGCGCATAGACACACATTTACGCGCAGTATACATCATCTGTGTGAAAAGCATGTGCACACTTTGCGTCCCGGAATGTCCGCGGGACATCCCGCAGGACTGTCGGAAGACACCCGAGCGGTAAAAGTTCACCCGGTTAAAGACGAGCTCTTTGCGCGTTCTACGCTTTTGCGCCTCGAGGAGATCACCGTCCAGTAAACTATCCAGCGACCGCGTATGTCGTGATGATTAATAATTACACTGCAAATCTAAGTGTGCTATTTTTACACGCATAAACGTTTAAAAATGACACATCAGACTGAAGCTCTTTTTACATGTGTTTCTTCACGTGTTAAGTTACGTCATTTAACACGTTTAATTATATTAAATTGAAAGTTAACACATACAATCGCATTAAATGACGTGATTTAAAACGCCAAGAAATGTGTATGAAGAACTTCAGCTAGAACAACACACTTGGATTTGCAGTGTAACGTTAACGTCAGTGTCAGACAAGGCATCCGTGTTATTTAAACCATGTTCGAGATTTTAAACAGTTGTCGAGCAGAAAGCTAACTGGGCTTATTTAAGAAATTTGTGGCATCTTAATATTTTATTAATAACAACATTTTTATTTTTTATTTTTAATTTCTACGTAAAAAGAAATTCCATATAATATATAATTATTATTATTTATCCTAATTCTCTCTCTCTCTCTCCCTCTCTCTCTCTCTAAATTTTAATAACACGCCATAATTGCATTCTTTCAATCTGATGATTGTTATATTGTAGAGCTGTCGCTTGGTCGATTAATTTCAATAAACATCCCGCGCATGATTTCGAGATTAGGGAATATTTGCGAATTTTTCGCGGAATTTTTACGAAATTGGCGGCTGTCATGTGACGGCCATATGTAACTCTACGGGATGAAGGGATTTTCGGGATGGATTTATGGCGGTGCGAAATGATCCAGTCATTCTCCTACGTTCATCGAACCTCCCCCCCTCCCGTTTGCGCTCCACGAATTCCCGCGGATTACGGCGAGGTGATCGATCGATCGAGCTCGCCGATTGTACGACTCTCGCTCGAGAGATATTCGCGTACGACGTAATACGCGTCATTTGCATTCTCCTCTCTATTATTCATGATGATAACGCACGATGATAATGCTGATAAACAGATTACGAGTTTATGTATTATCGTTTTAATGACATTTTCTGGTAGATCTGTAAATTTCCGTAACATTGGTTAATGCGTATTTTGAAACGCATTAGAGATTTTCTCTCGTGTTATTTTGTTCGTAAATTTTTTTAAAGCCACCCATAATTGGTAAATAAAACTTCGAAGAGATAAACGAATTTATGTTAAAATTACTTTTAGCAATAAGTAATCAATAAAAAGTTAACGTTTCTCTGCGTATTTTTATCTCTGTAATTTATTGACTCTATATAATTTATTTCCCATTTCAAAGAAGTTTCAAGCATCTAAGAGTGTCGGCGATATTGATTAGCCGGAGTATAATAAAGTCTATTATAAAATATGTCTTATACCTTTTAAATATTAGTTTTTATCAGCAGTAGTTTTTAAATACTGAGAAATAGTCTCTCTTTTAAGAAGATATTTCTGTACAAAGTGTCATGTTTCTGTTTTATTACAATTTTACACATGAAAAATTTACACAGACACTCCAACGCGCTTATATTATATGTTCACTTACATTTTTCAAGTTAGATTAATATTACACAATAAACTAATAGATTTTAAATAATTACTCAGATTGATATTTTATTAGCTGGAATAAATTATCAAAAGTTTTGAACCGAAAAAAATTATCTTCTACTTTTTAAAAGCACAAAACTACTTTTGTGTGTTTTATCAAATGTAATACTCAAACAAATGTATTACTCAAATAGATATATTTAGCTATTTCGGCAGATATTCATTTGCGAATATTTCAGAAATGTTTTTCTTTGGTTCTCTTTCATACAAAGCTAATTATCGTGTACACACATGGGATCATAAATGTTTTAGCACATGAATTCGCATATTAGGGGCTAATACTTTCTGCCATTTATATTTTATTACATATTATTACACATTATTCATTATCACATTATATTGTTACGTGACAAAAGTTGATGTGTCAAACTTTGCAAATTATGCTATTTTGAAACAGCGTTGCAACTTCATGTGTATGGAATTTATGATCCCGCGTGCACACACAAACACACACACACACAAGTAATTACCTTTGTATTTTTTTCCAAGTTATTTAAATGCAATTAAGACTATTGCGTCTATCGCAATTGCTTTTGAAAATATACGGAATGTTCCGTAATTGCTGCTGCTACGTTTGAGAGTCATCGAATCTATAACCAATTCGAGGATGATTTCCCTTGAGTAAACCTTTGCTGGACGCCGCAGTACCGTTCTTCTTCCATTTTTTAATATTTAATCTCGGCTAGCGCTCCGTCTCTATAATTAAAAGTTTGTTAGAATTAAAGTTTATTTTAAATTAAATTTATTTAAAATTAAAAAGTAAGAACCGCCTGCTTTTTCCGAAAAAAGAATTTTTCAAAGAATTAACGCCGGATGCGCCGGATGGTATAAGCGGGTCGTCACGTATATTCGCGGTGAAATAGGAAAACGAAATTTTATGTTTTACTTTACAGCTTGTAAGTGAAAAAGGAACCGACAAAACAAACGGAAGAGGGAAGACTTCGGCTCTCGTACGATATAGTCAAATCGGCACTGACTCAGATAAAAGAATACATTCGGACAACATCATGCGACCAGGTAATAAATACCATAAGATCTCCTTATAATATAACTATTTGACCTTCGTACTTTTGGCAAAAGCAGATGACCCAAAGTACGTAAATACTTCAATACCAAATTCTTATAAACTATACATATATAGTATGATATATAATATATATCAGATTTTTTATAAACTCTCAAAATTTGTAGATCAACACATTTGTAGATTTCAGAATTTAAGTCATGAAAGTGAGTAAAAATATATGTGAAACGTAAAAATGTAACATCTGTTGCGTGTTAAGTGACTTGAAATAAATTTCACTGTAAACTGAAGTAAATTACATGCAATTAGTATGATAACAGGTAGGGAGGGAGGGAGGGAGAGAGACCAAATAATTTTGCTGTGTGTTTGAAAATAAGGTGTCTCAAATGATTTCTATTACTGTAACTTTTTTTATCAGCACATCAAAATATTTTTCACATTTGACTTTAATATTGAAGTTTATATAAAATAAAATTGTGCAATTTTTTCATTTTTCCTGTTATAACTTTAACATTTATCGAAATATCATAACCGAGCAACAGTGCGTGTTCAGAGTAGCAACATGATATATACGAGCACACAATTTACGTATCGCCCAGGCAAGAGTTTAATTTATTTCACGAGTACTTTTCTTTTTTTACTAAAAACCAATTGAATTAAAATCACAGTTGGGAAGTCTATTTTATAAAAGTAATGCGTTATCGTTTCCGTTTTCGTCTCTGAGAAGTAAATTGGAATCATTGTTCAATAATTAATGCGTCGTTACTATTTACTTTCCAGCAACAATTTCGGCCAAATTACATATATATCAACGCTAAGTGGTTTCAGCTCTGAATCAATTAAATTTTGTTACAAAAATGATTAATACATACGATAATTAATGTCATTACTGTCTTTATAATAAATATATAATTATATATAATTATTTATAATAAGTGTAAATTTAAACATTTACATCTTTACAAAAATATTATTGTATATCTTTATTGTTTGTATACTTTATTAAGTCATTTTCAGGTATGACTGGTAATTGCGTATCAAAAGCAACATCATAGAAGGTAAAACTGATCTGAAAAATGATAATTTTTAGGACAAATGTACTGTGTATGTATGTATATGTGATATTGGGGAAAATGTAAATAATGAAAAATAAAAAAGAACAAAAAAACTCATTATTTGATGGTTCTGGTTCTGGTTCTGATCCAGATGTTTTTGCAGTTAGAAAAAATAATACTTTTAAACTATTATTATATTATTGCAAGAGTTTCGCATTGTATACGTACATCTGATGCAGCGCATAGTCGAGACATCCCCATGTGTAATTTCGTTTTATTTTCTGTTTATACAATTTCAATACCGGCTTAGTACTTTTAATCGATCAAAAACTTCTGTTTTTTTCGCAACGAACTCAAATTTTGTGTATCTGCTTTTTGTAAATTACTCAGAGAATTAATTTTTAATAAAAAATTTTTAATACATTTGCAGAATTATCCAGTTAAACCTCAAAAATCTTTGCACACGCTTCACGTTTTCTGGCTGAGAAAATTTCATTATACGGCTGTGATTTTACTCTCACTATTGACATCACAAACCCGGTGCTATGCACGCGCTATTTAACTCTAATATAATATTTTACTGTTACTATTACACTATTAACCACACAACTGTCCAAATATATGCCGCTCATGAATTAAGCGCAACGAGAGAACCAATCGGCATCGCGGAAAAGCGACACGATAGATTCGAGTATCGATGACACGCCCTTTTTGGAAGAAAAAAAAAGGAGAAGAGAGGATACATTCAATATCATCGGTATAATCGGTAATTTTAATGTATTAGTGAAAATTATATGTTTAATATTATTATACAGTATAGGCCCCTATATAACACGGATTCACATGTATAACACGATGGAAAAATTTTAATATTTACTTAATTGTTTTAAAATAAAATTAAAAATATGTTACTGGTACACTTTTTTAATATTTATTTTACATTTTTTATAACAAATGTTTATATTTCTTTTATAAATATGCGTTTCCATATGCACACATAATCCATATATGTATAGCAATACAGGAATGATAGCAATAATATTCTTGTAAAATTTTAAGTACAAGTATACTTGTTATTATATAATATATATAATACTAACTTCGTTTGTGTATAACTTTCTGGTACTTTCAAATGTTCTTTATTTCCTTCAGCTATAATTTTAAAAAATTTTTATAATTTTTAGATATTAAAAATGTATTCTGTGTGTGTGGCACTGTCGGTGTCGTTTCGTTATAAGTTGGTGGACTGTGTCGAACTTTGAGCGTGCCGCGTACCTTCGCCATAAGGCTGAGTTTCCACTGAGCGCGTCACGCGTCGCGTCCGCGTCATCCGTCGCGACCAATCAAACAGCCATTTTGTCGAAAATTGACGGAGAGGGGGCAAAACGCTGGCTTTCCTTCGCTGCATGAAATTGCGGCTTAAAGCGTTTAAAGCTAATAAGCTCTCGATCATCATCATCCCGCGATAAACCGTGTTATCGCGCTATCTCTTTTGAGATGTCGAATTTTACAAAGTGGCACCTCACGCTAATCATTATCTCCTGCGCGTCTCTCGGTAAGTGATCGAAATTCCGGGATTCGCCCAATTTCTTCTAACCCGATATCTTTGCCCGTAGGCCACGCCCTGGAGTGTTACGTTTGCACGGATCAGGAGGGCAACCGCGATAAATGTCTGAACACCATCAAAACCTGCGAACAGGGACAGGATATTTGCCTCACGGAAATCAAATGGGGCAGTAAGTCAGCGCACTCGGTCATTCATACGTTCTTTAGTTCTTTGAGGTTATGTGCGTGCCGTCGCGTGCGCTCCGAGCGCGCTCCGTTTATCAGTTTTCTAATTTAAGTCAACAACCATCATTTAATCGCTCTTTATTAAAGACGATAAGGACGTATTTAATGACATAATCAGACCGTCTTGATATCGATATCTCTCAGACAGCAATGGGAGAGACCCTGAGGATTTTGTTTTCAAGTGTGAAAATTAAAATTTTACTGAAAAGAGATAACCCAGTTAAAGAATTATATTTATTCGATTAGATGTATCTCAGTGATAAGCCATATACGTAAAATCAGATATCAGTATGTAACAGTATTACCATAGGGATAATGAACCTGGTGATTATAGGTACACCGTACTGGTCCCAGGGTGCCAAGAAACAATTTTACGTCTCTAAGAAATGTGCCACTAAAAGGGAATGTGAGAGGCTGCAGCGCAGTAATATGCCCGATTGTACTCATATCTGGTATCAGGACTGGAAGTGTTCCTCTTGCTGCCAAGGCGATAGGTGTAACTACTATGTTATTGTAAGTACAAGTTCTTTGGTCAATAATTTGAAAAGATGCGATAAGTGAATAAGTATTTCATTGTTTATTTCAGTCCGGTGGAAACGAGAGGAAAATACATAGTGGAATATTTGCCATAACAGTCTTGATGTCCTTGTTGGGCGCATCGAGGTTTCAATGACAGTGGTTCTGCAGAGACAATTGGCCGATGTTTTAGCTGCCGAATCAATTGATGAATCTCATCACTGCAGACTGAATATGTAAAGATCTTATTTTAGCGTAATAACTAACGCAAGATAATATTAAAGTTACACACGCAAGATAGGTTTTACAGTCATATATGCAAGATAATTTTATACTTATACATGCTTTTTGCAAATGTATGAATGTATTGTGTTCAAATTAATCTATTATCGTAAAAATTCCGTGACATTTTTTATTATACAATTTCTGACATATCTCGGACATTTGAGATGTCTCAGAATGTTATATTTGCACTAGTGGTTTTATGATAATTGTAACGTAGATATAAAAGTTTATATATATATATA